AAGTTTTCTAATCTAAAACTCTTCTCATTGTCTACGGAGAGGTGTACGCAGTGAAAGACTATTGGTATGGCGGTAAATCTTTCCTAGAATTCTAACTTTCATTGACAAAACGGAATGATCAGGCATTTTATAAAAGCTGTTGGGTCCCGTTATTTATTTGAAATCTATGACCTGATATTCCTTTATTAAGTGATCCCTTGGTTTCATCAACATAAAAAAGTCCACACAGATTACATTCTATTCCGTAGACAACATTAGAAGATTTGCAGTTCAGATTTTTCCAAGTTTTGGTATAGAAGCTATATCAAGTAAGATTACTGGTGAAAGAATTCCTAGTTACCAAAATGCCACAGGGTTTTAATTTTTTCACTGAGCATTTTGAAATATAGAAGACATAGGATCGGAAAAGGAATCTTCTTATATAAGAAACCTTACATTCTTTTAATTTTTGTATGAGCTGTTGGTTTTATACCTAAACTGGAAATCTGAAGATTGTACAAGACATACGTCTAATATCCCTGAGGATTACACGAAGGGCACCGAATGAACTCCTTTAGCCTGTGTCCCTCATAGACTCAAAGGAGTGACGCCTTTTTATACTGGGCGACGCGCCTGCTAATATCATTTCGTTTTTCTGTGTACTCATGAATGAATAGGTACCGAACGACAATGCAAGTATCCTCGAGGAGACTGTCAGCAAAGATACATGGTCGGTGGTTAAAATGAAATATATGGAGATGACGAACAGTATCCAAGATTAAAAGTCCATAAAACAATAAAAAATATGAAAATATGAGCAGAGCAAACACGGACCTCCAAAACATCAAAGGTGCCGTGGGATCAGGTGCCATGGAGGAGTAAGCATCCTTGTCATGATCGTATGAAAAACGTCAGACAGCATTTGACTTAGTGATAAATTGTATTTGCTGACAAGGTCATTGTATCGACCATAGAACTAACGGAATGATGACTTTAAACTAAACTGCTGATATTCTTGTTTCATCAACTTGTTTGTCAATAATTTAGCTCATTTTAGAAATTTTTCATACGTAGAGCATGTTCTTGTGAATCGAATCAACTGAGTTTCACAAGAACATGCCCTACGTATGAACAATTTCTAAAATGAGTTAAATTATGACCTTGTCAGCAAATACAATTTATCACTAAGTCAAATGCTGACTGACGTTTTTCATACATGTACTACTTATTAGTCCATTGTTTATACACTGAATTGATGTCGGATTTTCCCGTTATTTCCCGATCATTACAAGGAGCTTACGGTGGGTGTGACCGGTCGGCAGGGGATGCTCACTCCTCCATGGCACCTGATCCCACCTCCGATGTTTTGGAGGTCCCTGTTTGCTCTGCTCCTATTGAATACTGTTCGTTGTCTCCATATGTTTCATTTCACGTTCATCATAATTCTGGCGTCCCTTTTCTGTAATCTATAATATACCAATAAAACTCTTGTTTTTAGCTGAACACCAAACAGTGCAACAATAGTTAAAATGAGGAAAAATAACAGTGTTGTAGACTGTTAGCAGTGCTTCTTTGACATAAAATTTTGTAAACGGTAAAATACCTATTTTTGTGATAATTTCTTACATAAAGAATCTATATGTACAGACCAGGTAAGATATTCATCTATTTGTACACCAGGTAGTTTGGAACTTTTAACAGTCTCTAAAACAACATCACCTACTTCTCATCTTAATCTTACTCGTAGCTCCTGAGGTAAAAACAAAGAAAAGCCAAGAGTCTATGGAGAGTCTAATGATACCGTACTTATAATACCACATGCAGTCATATCTTTTACAAATAAAATTAACATGTAAATTTAGCATAAACTGGTAATTTGAGTCTATATTATACAGCTGTAAAAGCCAAATTAGGATAAATAATAGCCTTTTCACACATTTCACGTAGCAAACAAAGTGTTTGACATAACGAGTTTCTCTGAAATTCGTTTAAATTGATTCTATGCTGAATTACTTGACTCAATCATTCTCAAATTAGTTTTGGATTGATTTTTATTCATTCATTTTGCTATTGTTTTGCTTTTTATGTCGTACATTGAATTAAAATTTGGGGTGCTTCCATGTAGGATATTGGCTTACAAGAACTGTAAGATAAATCGTGTCTTGATCATTAATTGATGTCTATCTGTCTGTTATCTTAGTTTCTAATATCCATTGGCATTTGCAATTTTGTAAAAAAAAAAATAAAAAAAACATTCTGATTGCATACACAAGTACTCTAAATTTGACATCAAAAAATGCCAACAAATACCTATGTGGTTTTTGGAGACCAGGTCTTCCATCAATTTAAAGGAATTCCCATGGGCACCAATTGCGCCCCGTTATTTGCAAACCTATTTTGTATTCACATGAAGCAGAAAATGTCCAAACTTATACGTGAAAAAAAAAACACTTGCTGTGGCCTTCAACTCGACATTTAGGTATATCGACGACGTATTGTCAATTAACAATGGTAACTTCCATTCATATGTCGATACGATATATCCCGATGAGCTTGAGATAAAAGATACCACAGAGTCTGACACAACTTGAAAATGGTAATTTAACAACCAAGCTTTATGATAAACGTGATGACTTTAACTTTACAATCGTCAAATTCCCTTACTTATGCGGCAATATACCTTCATCACCTCACCTGCATACGGAGTTAATATATCTCAGTTGATTCGATAAGCAAGAACATGCTCTATGTATGAACAATTTATAAAACGAGGTTAATTATATTGACAAAAAGTTGATGAAACAAGAATATCAGCAGTCTCGTTTAAAGTCATCATTTCGTAAGTTTTAGTCGTCCGCGTGACGCGGTGGTTAGAGCGTCTGCTCTAGAGTCGCGGAGTAAGGATTTGATCCTTACGTCGCGGGTTCGAACCCCACTGTGGGACGTGGAGACCGGTCCTTCGGATGAAACCGTATTAACCGAGGTCCCGTGTCGCAGTAGGTGCTGGCTCGAAAAAGATCCCTCCCTGTTCAAAGGCCCTGAGTGCCAAGTATAGGACAACATTTGTAGCTCTCCATCGGCAAGTGGTGGCAGTCGAAAAATGAGTGAAAAATTCTCGAGAGGGACGTTAAACAATATACAATTAATCAATCATCTATGGTTGACACAATGACCTTGTCAGCAAATATAATTTATCATAGAGTCAAATGCTGACTGATGTTTTTCATACTTATTGTTAGTCAATTATTTATACACTGAATTGTCGAAGGGTTTATACGCTATTTCCCGATCATTACAAGGAGCTTACGGTGGGTGTCACCGGTCAGCAAGGGATGCTCACTCCTTCATGGCACCTGATCCCACCTCTGATGTTTTGGAGGTGCGCGTTTGCTCTGCTCCTATTTTGTATTGTTTTATGGACTTTTGATCTTGAATACTGTTCGTTATATCCATATGTTTCATCCATTAATTGTAAGGAGAAAAAGTATTTGGTAAAGCCAGGGAACTATATACGGGTTAACAAGCTAATTCACAGAATCTATGTCACCTGCTTAAGAAAAAAAAAGCTTAGAATTTGCGTGGATCTAGGTCAGGGCACTTTAAAAGATCTGGGTTTACGGTCTAAAGAAGACCCCTATTGATAATGAGTTCAAAAGGTCAAAGGTCATAAATTCATTTAACTCGGTTTTAACACTTTCGTTTCCGCGCAATATCTCGAGAAGCCTTAATTTGAGCTTTTGCAGTGAATTTTTATACCGGAACTCCCTATGGCCTATAACTGCAGATCTGTAGCTCTCTAGTCTGAAAAAAAAAATGGAATGGACGACCACAGAGCAAATGTGCCACCCATTGAAAAAATGTTTATTTATTGCGCACAAAAAGTTGCTCTAGGTTCTTGGTTAATTTCTCTAAATTCCTACAATTATCAATTGCAAAATAGCTAGATATCAAAATATGTCTAACTGCTCTATCAATTGCTCTCGTAGTTGACACCTGCACCAAAAACTATCAACTTTTATAAGCATATTAAATTAAAAAAAAAAAAAACTTAACGCGCTACTATAAATATATTGGTCCATTAACAGTTAACATCTCCAAGGTAGGGCAGATAATAGTTAGTTCACACATCTCACGCCTTTAAACAAATCATCTGCATAAACAAAGTGGATTTTACCGAACTAAACTGAATCAATATTGAATTAATGTTGATTTAATATTTTTTTGAAAATAGTCTTTACTGAATTAGGAAATTATTATTTTATGGTAAAATTTGCTAAGTAGAGCCAGAAGGAAAATTAATTTTAAATTATTAATGATCCTTATCGCTTATCCGCGTATCTGTCTGCCTGTATCATATATATAAACTCATATATATATGAATTAAAAAAAAAAACACCTAGTACAAAATTCGGAAGCAAGAGTTGATATTTTTAAAATGCAATAAATAATGTTTGATTTGCTGTATCATTCTGAAAAATAAAATATCAGAAATATGTCCTACAAAGATTGGCAAACAAATATTACTTCCTGTTAATAACTGTTGCATCTCATTGAATAAAGACATATGTTTTCTTGCATAAAGTGGGTTGTCTACCCTGAGTAAAACACTTACCTTATGCAGTGGACAACAGCCCAGGGTAAATCTACGTCCGATAATTAACCATTAATTGTGATACACTATTGCACCGAGGCAACAGTAATACATGTAGACCCAGATACCATGTGGAGACCAGTTTCTTCAGTAAAAGTAAGTTTTTTGCATTCATTTATCAAAAAGTACAAAACTGTTATACCTATTAAAAAATTAAAATAAAGTTTTTTCACCTTTTAAACTTCCTCATTAATAATGAAAATATAAACTTTTATGAGCCAAAAAGTGCAAAGAAGGAATTAGTGTTGACAAAGGTCTACATACAGTACGCGGTAAAAAGTATTTGGTTATTTCTGAAATTCTCAATCCAAAATATTTATTGTCCCAATGTGTGGTCTTTTTTTCCAGTGGCTGTGTCTGTTCATGACGTCTATGGGTATACTGTATTTCTTCAATGACCCGATCCAAAGAGAAAAGGCACCGGAAACAAACTACCATCAGCTCTCAACTTCAGCAAGAAGCAGCTCATTTGAGTTAATCGAGACGGGATCCCGTTTGAATTATTCCATGTTTTTGTTGAGGGACTTGTCCCCTGATAAGTATGTAGTGTACACCTGTACGGGGAGGTCACGTGGCCTGCGGTGCGGCGGCTGGAGCGATAGAATGAAGACAATAGTTTCATCCTACATGCTCTCATTGCTCACAAAACGTCAGTTCAGAATTCTCGACACCTATCCCTGTGACATTCAAAATTCTTTTAGTGAAAACTTGGTCCAGTGGAAGATTAACGGGTCGGAGTTAGAAAGTCGTAGCCATCAGAATTTTTACGCAAGTGTAGGGGTAAAGGTTGCCAGGAATCATTTTAGAGGCGCGAATCTGGAAACTGTTCACAAGCCAGATGTCATTTATTTTCACGGGAACTGGGACTTTTTAAATGAGATTGCTGAAAGGCCAAACATTGGTGAAAGTTTTCCATGGCTTCTCAAGTTACCTAGACCTGATATATACAGAGGTATATTACGTATGATACTGAAACACACAGACACATTACAAAGACATATACATGAAATCTTCTCGGAGCAAGTGAAGAATAATAAATTAGTGTGTGCGCATGTGCGGCAAGGCCGGAGCCAAACGTTACCTGATGATGACTCAACAGATGTCGGGGAAAGAGATGTGGAAACCATATTTCAGTTTTTATCTCAATACCAGATTCCAAACCACAAAATATTCATTGCAACAGATTCTGATGAAATCATGAATTCAGCACGTACACGGTTCCGAGACTTTCTGCTGGAGGTTCCAGGGCCAATCACTCATATGGACCTCTCAAAGAGTGGAGAACTATGTCAAGGTCAACAAAAGTCCTTCACAGAACACGAGATTTTGACCCGCTGTGATACTCTATTGTTGACAAGGAGCGGGTTTGGTATCATTGCTGCATTCCTGCGGGAAAACTCTGATGAACTCTATTGTCTCAGTCGACATTACATTGCACCGTGTTCGAGATATACTCTCTCTAAAATCTATCCATGGACACTGTCACCTTGGGATGACTTTTAGCTTACGATTTGGCTTAGGTTCTATTCTATCTTAAAATTTGTTCGCGAACTTCCAGAACATACATTCCTCACTCAAAGCTGCTTTCGGCAATTTTGTGTGCATTATAATTCCATTTTTTTGCAATAGCATAGACATAGAACTAAATGGAACCATTTTGGGTCTATGACCAGATAAAGTAATATGTGGCAATGTTTTAAAATCGAGTTTGGAAGTTTGTTGATGAAATGATTTGTCCACAATAATACATACAACTGTTACAACGCACTTTGAAAAATTACGCACTTTGAAAAATTTTTTCAAAGTGCGTTAAGTTTTGGGACCAGGTTAACGTACTTTGAAAAATTTTTTCAAAGTGCGTTGAATTTTGGACCAAATCAACGCACTTTGAAAATATTTTTCAAAGTGCGTTAAAACTGTACATCATAATTTTACACCATGTAAACATTTAACGCACTTTGAAAAAATTTTCATGAAACAAAAGGAATTAGACTTACATTTTAGAAATAGACAACAGTATTATCCCCTTGCAGCGTATGATGGGATATACATTGTAGTGATGCGATTATATGTGTTATTACTTAATGTGTATGTTAGTTTTTTCTGTGTGGAATTGACGTAATTTGTATCGGGATCTTTTTTGGGAAGGAACACTCCGCTTTGCGGTGCCCTTACTTTTATGTGAATTTTTTCTAAAAACTGATAGATTGAAGAAAACCAAGAAACGGAAAACGAAGAAAAGACTGGCTGAATTAAGGTCTATCAGCTCAACTCTTTATCATTCCCACCCAGATATATCTATTTCTATAACTCGTAACCTTAAGTGTCAATGATATTTGAAAAAAGAGCATTCTAAATACAGTATAAGAACTGTACAAGGAAGTCTGTAGTAAATCGAAATTTTGTTCTTTTAAATCTCAAAGTCTATTTATGATCATTTTCAGGAAAATCAGAATATTAATTACTAGCTGTAAATTCCTTATTTTTTGCGAGTGTTTTTTTTCGCAAACTGGCTCTCAAACGTCAAATCGCTAGAATTATAATTCGCGAATGAACGGTTTATTAACAGATTTTACATAGATTAAAGCACCAGAAAAATAAAAGCGAGAAATATATTTTTTGCGAGTGATACTTCTCGCGAAATTACGCAAAAATTAATTCCTTGCTTATATTAAGGAATCTACAGTACCTGTCTGCTTTTCGATGTTAATTTGATACCATATCTGATAATCTCTCTGTTAAACTCCAGGTGTTTAAAAACACAAGTTTTGCCAAAATTATAGAGTTATTTCTCTTTGGTATCCCAAATAAGTAAGGTTTTATGAAAATTCATATAAATATCTATAAATTTTTTTAGAATCATTCCAATATGTTAACATTTGAGAATTGACTAAGAGATAGGCGGAAGAACAATACTATCGTTCGTAGTTCTTTACGACATTGAATGTTGACCTTTTGACCCCAAATTCAAAAGGGGTCTTCCTAAGGCCACATGGATTCTGTTATGTTAAATTTCATTGCAAATGTTCAAAGGGTTGGCGAGATATCGTGTGGAAACGAAAGCGTTACAGAAAGACGGATGGACGGACAGCTAGACGGACAGACTGACAGATAGACCCAAATTAATATATCCCACTTTTCGTGCTGGGGACAAAAAGTATCAAATCAGGTTCAAATGATAATTTATCATACCTAAGATTTGTAGGAATATTGACTAAGCCATGCAGAATTTTTTTTTCAAAGTGCGTTAATATGGTCGATATTAACGCACTTTGAAAAAAAAATTATTTTTTCAAAGTGCGTTAACCTGGTCCCAAAATTTAACGCACTTTGAAAAAATTTTTCAAAGTGCGTAATTTTTTCAAAGTGCGTTGCCACATACAACATTGTAGCTTTGGTAGGATAGCTTTCTCTTCTAACGATTTTATTCCATGATAATTAATCTATTGGCCTCTTGTTCATTTTTTATGTCAGAGAAAACATTCATGATTGTCTTTTTATTGACAATAAACTAAGAGAAGCAACTGTGTATCTTTTTTATATAACAAACTGTAAACTATAAGAACAATAACTCGTCTTGGGGACCTTTGAGCTACTTGCAGTTTTTACCATCTATAGCTGCATAACTGTAGCTCTTCGAACAATTATATTGACAGACCGGTCTGTCAATATATATATTTTTTCGGAGAGCTACGTACGGTTCTGTAGCTATACTATCTAGTGAGCTAACAATTTTTAAACGTTACGATATACTTTACCGTTGAGTATTGGTTCTAGCAGATCACAGCCCATTCACGACCCTGTTACCTTTGGATCCGTTACCTTTACCATGTTTACAGAGAACCATATGATAAATACTAGTAACTGGAAAAATTAAAGCTATGTGGCAACGCACTTTGAAAAAATTACGCACTTTTAAAATTTTTTTCAAAGTGCGTTAAGAGTCTACATCAATATATTTTACCATGGAGACACTTAACGCACTTTGAAAAAAAAAAATCATATTTTAGTCATGGAAAGATTTTATTTGTTATTTATCTTTCAAAAAACTAAGCCTAACCCTAACCTCAAAAACGAATTGATTTACTCCCGTCGAAAAGAGGAGAAGACGGGTATAAGATCCCTCAGTCCAAATCTTTATCTTTCCAATACATAGGTGTCGGTAACAAACGGGGGAGGGGAGCAATAAACCTAAAAAGGGTACGCTGCATTTTCAATGCTTATACGATGTATATATCTTTCCAAAATAAGTTGGGGGCTTAGCCCCCGATCCCCTCCCTGGCCCTTCGCCCAGTCTCGATGTCTATGCTATACTCAAAGCATTCATATAATTATGTATTTACCTAACTGGTATGACCTTGAAAACTTCCAATAATAAATGAGTTAATTAAAACAGATTAAAACTAGAAATTTTTAAGTACAGTAAAACGTATGAGAGAGAAAGAATTTTCATAGTTTTGAACAATCAAATTGGCCCCTTTTTATTATGATAAATGCTAAGTTGCTTGAAGCTGTCCTCTGTTAGTGCCCCCTATACACCTTTACATCTACTTATCAAAGACTTGAATAAAAAAAAAGAAGAAACGAATTAATGAACATAAACAATCGTCACTCTTTTTTTCAAGACCCTTTAATTTTCCCTTTTATTTTATCAAAACCTTAAATATTTGAAACGTCAATATCTCAGGTCCTACAGTGACTTTATCATAAAAAAGTTATCAAACCAGGATCTGTTATTTATCATACCGATTATTTGAAGGAATATTGATCAATCTTTACATTTTTTTCAAAGTGCGTTAATATGGTCGATATTAACGCACTTTGAAAAAAAAATATTTTTTTCAAAGTGCGTTAGCTTGGTCCCAAATTTTAACGCACTTTGAAAAAATCTTTCAAAGTGCGTAATTTTTCAAAGTGCGTTGTAACAAAGCTATATTAATTGCGAATACGAGATTAGTGTAGATTTATATGCTATTTGTTATTCACGCTCAAATTCAAAATTTCTTTGATTTTGAACTTAAATATCCCCACGTTTATATTAGTCTAAATGTCTTAAAACTGTGTTATTTTAATTCCGGGTCGGGAATAAATCGGTTATTGTAGGAAATATGTGATATCTATGAAGTGATATTGATTCAATAAATTGTGTAATTTATAGGAAAGTCTTATCTTAATATATAAAGCAACAGACAAATAGAAAGATTTTTTTTTAATTTTAATTAGTCTGAACGAAAATACGCCATATAATTATATGAATTTAATATTCTTTATTGAGAAATACACCAGAACTTTCAAAAATACATTTTTAGACGGGGTCACGTGACCCCGTCTATTAGTTTACTGTCAGAGCCATGAAAAAGGAAGCCGTGGTGATAACACATGAATTAAATCTACGCTATATGAAAGAGTGCAGAAATTGTTTTGATCAAAATATAAGCATTCTATATCAAACTGAAGAAAGTGATAAGAACTTTTTATAAATGAAATTAATGTAGCATTTTGTAAACGTAAACTCAAAATATTAAATGTTAAACACACTATAGTAAACAAAGTACCCTCCTGCGTAGTATTATATATATCATCCATTGTTTACTTCCGGACAATATATTATATATACCAGGTGAAATTCGGACAATTTAAAAAGGTTTCTAGACTTAAATGAAAAACGCGAATTTATATTATTCACAGTTTTGTTTTTAGTTTGTTATCCTACAAAATTATCAAACCTCGTTAAAAAAATTTACATTTGTGAAATCTAGCATGAAAATTATTTTGACCCCGTCTTTCAGTACTGTCTCAGTACTTTGATTAAACTACAGTTTTGGCATTGAAATATCTATGATTTATGAAGGATGCTACCAAATTTTCACGAATATTTAATTTTAAAATGTTAATTTTGATTTGGATGTCATTTACCCTCTCCTTTGTTTGGTCTTCATTAATTCCGCACAGGACAATACACCCCCCCCCCCTTTCCACCCAATAGGATTTCAAAGTTAGGATACTCAAGTTTTTTTTCTAGCCTAATTGCTTTTCAACTTTTTCCCTGAAGGTTCATTTCACTTTTAAAACATTGCTACTGATCTAAATTCATGATATAATACTCCTTCTGAATCCCAAATTGCATCAAAGAGCATGCTGTAATAATATTAATTATAATGCCAAGAATAATGTTCAATGTCTCTAAAATATGTTTTTAACAGGAAAGTTTATAGTTCAATGTAATCACTTTTTGGGAAATCAAAGTGAATGTTGAATTAAAATCTACAACATTTCAATAGTTTATAAAATATATCCATTGCAACCACACCCATGAATACATTTCCACATCTCCAGCAAGTGTTGCCTAATTTTGATATTGACCAATCATATTCAAGGAAAATATTTACCTCGAACATCTAAACAGGAAAACGGTCAACCATTGCGAAAGAGTAATAACATTTCGAAAGGTAGTTTTCTTCAGCAAAGATGGGGTTCGAGACATGTGGTCCGAACGAAGTAATGGTGGTTTCAGGTAAAATTATTTACACTTTTTACTAGTAATTGCATGAAAGACCAATTGCACTTTTGGGTATGGCACTGCATCGTTTTGATTCGCAATACATATCATTAGCGTTTCAGCAAAAGCTATCATATTTCCATTAAACTGTATTGCGTTTTAGACATTTAGTAACAAAAGATGTAAACATTCACTTGTAATATGCATTAAAATATGTTAAGAAATAATAAAATCAGGATAGACAGTGAAGACATCAAGTTAGTTATGCCTGGTCGTTCGTGCATAATAATGAGGCAGCCAAGATAGTGGGCAGGGTCAATTTGATGTTTAACATGGATGATGGACGCAACCGGAAAGGCAGAAAGCGGATAAGAGATGCATAGAAAAGCAAAATCGCTGGATAGAAATCTGGATGACTAAAATTCATAATTTATTATGAATGATTGAAAAAAGAAACAATTTGAAAGTAAAAAGGCTTTTTTAACAAATAAGTTAACAAAAAATTAAATCGAAAAAATTTAACTACCTTTATTTATAGCAAATAAATTTGGAATATTGATTAGAATTATTTCACCATTTTAATATCTGTATCTGAAAAATGTTTGACTGAGTGGACCAGGAATTAAACCCCTGACCCTTGTATCAGTAGTCAGGTGCTCTACCTACTAACCAGGCAATATCCACAGCCAAAACCATTACATTCCTCCATCCTCCTTAAACTGTCTTTGTCCTTGAAGACAATGGAAATTCTTATTTGCCCTTGGCTGTAATTGCACATGCAAATTCAGGAGTGTTCAACAGCACCAAACCTGTAACTACTAACATGAATGGATAAAATCTATGACAGGACCAGGATTTGAAACCAGAACCCCTTTACTATTCTGTAGTCAGGTGCTCTGCCAGCAGAGCTACCCAGGCCAATATCCATGCAGCGTTTTTTTTCCTTATATAACTGGTGCCGATAAACGGCACCGTTCCCAATGCCAAAAAACGTTAATTTTTCCCAATTCTGTGACTAAAAATTCCCAATTCAACTGTGAAGCAAAAGATTACGACGGAATCGTATTTCTTGTTAAATGAAACATTGTACAAGTTGACTAATTGTTTCACTTCTGCTTAAATCGAAAGTAGACAAAGTTGTAATTTGGCGGGAGCAGTGGTTTAGACAGCGTTGTGTCATATTATATTTTGACAAATTGAAAGCATGACAATGTGAAAACAAGGGACGTTGATATAAAAACAATAAGTACTTGTTTATTCTTTAAAACAAGCAGTAATAGGTAATTAAGTTGGAATAAACGCAAAATACGTTGCATTTGCATAAATAAGAGAAAATTCTCCTTTGTTTTTCTTCGATGTTATTTTTCCCAATTGAACCGGTACCGGACTCTTTCCCAATGGGACATCACCATGGAAAAAAATCGCTGCCATGACCCCAACATATCTATACACTCAAAGAAATCCAGTCAAAGCGCCCCCTAATAAAACCGTCCCGTGAAAGCGTCCCCTGATTTTGGTCAAAGCGTCCCCTGATTTTGGTCAAAATGTCCCGTGATTTTGGTCAAAGCGCCCCTTATAGAATTTTACAGTAAAATGATGTAACAAAACCGCCCCCAAATATTGGTCAAAGCGTCCCCTGATTTTAGTCAAAGCGCCCCTTACATTTTTTTCTTAGAAAAAATCGTGTGGGAAGCGTCCCCAAGCAATATATATATATATCCCCAATTTTGGTCAAAGTGTTCCCTGGGTCAAATCGCCCCCTAATATATTTGTACAAACATGTTACGGAATAAAACTATTTTGTATTTATAATATTATCATTGTTTGGCAGTTACTTGAAAAAATTTCTATAAGGGGATGCTTTGACCAAAATCAGAGGACGTTTAGACCATTACTTGGGTATCGACTCGAAACATTTTTTTCCTGTTAAAATATATAGGGGGCGCTTTGACTAAATCAGAGGGTGCTTTGACCAATATTTGGGGGCGGTATTTTTCTACAAAAATATGTTAGGTGGCGCTTTGACCAAAATTAGGGGACACTTTGACTAAATCAGGGGAAGCTTTGACCAATATTTGGGGGCGTTTTTTTTTCTATAAAAATATGTTAGGGGGCGCTTTGACCAAAATCAGGGGGCGCTTTGACGAAAATCAGGGGACACTTTGACCAATATTTGGGGGCGGTATTTTTTCTATAGAAATATGTTAGGGGGCGCTTTTACCAAAATCAGGGGGCGCTTTGACTAAAATCAAGGGACACTTTGACTAAAATTAGGGGATGCTTTGACCGTGACGTTTTTATTAGGGGGCGCTTTGACTGGCTCCCCACTCAAACATTGAAATCTTGAAGAACTCATTTAGGAAAAAAGAAATTTTTAATTGTAATTGAACTTTCATTAAAATGATTTTTTAAATGAATATATCTAGTGAAAACGGATTATTATCACTCACTTCTGCAGGTTTTGCTTCAGATGATAATTTATAGACTCTGCAAGATATTGAAAATGATGCTTTTTTCAATGGAAGATCATCATGAAATTAATAAAAAAATATATTGTTTTTATCTTTTTGATGAGATTAATTTTTCTGTATCATTTCAGGATGCTGTCACTCGGGGTCCACATTTATTCCTGGTGGCCGTGTGTTTGTTTGGCCTCTCATTCAGAAACTGCAGAGGTAGGTGAAGGTGTATGCACACTTCTCAGAAAGTTTAACATTTGGCACAATTTTTAAAGTTTTTTTTATGTGTACCTTAAAAAGTAGACACATTATTTTTCATTATTTATTGTAACAATGTAATCAATGTCACATTGAGTGAAGAGTCTCTTTAGATACTTTTGATACAATTATGTGAATACAATATTATTGAGACTCTGTTGAATCATAATGGATAATTCAGTCTACAGGTGTATATAATGAGGGGACATTCTGTTGGTAGGTTTGTTATACACTATATATCATGGATAATATCATATTATCATGGAGAGGACTTATATGGGCAGTGCCTGCTATCCAATCCTGTTTTGTTTATTCATAATAAAATATTGTTTAAATTAAAATAAATACACAATATACTCTGTTCCAGGCTCTCTCTGAACACAATGACCCTACAGATTGACAGTCCTAATGTCTACACACAGCTGGGCGTGGCAATATCTGTCACAGGAATCGCTCAGGTAACACAACAGATTTATTTTAAACAAATTGAAATTGCCACATGTATTATATACATGTTCATAATTTGTCGTATTCAAAATTTAGAGCAGGTACTTGGTATGAATTTGTAAGCGTAATCATGAAAACGTGTTACACAAGTTTGATTTTCTGATTATTTATTATGTTAGAATTATTCAGTATTGATATTTGATTACACAGGTAAAAATCCAGGGATCATCTAAGGAGATGATGGAATCTGCGTGTGAGCTGTTTTTGGGTAAATCAGAGCGTGACATTGAGAGGGTGGCCTTGGAGACCCTTGAAGGTCATCAGAGAGCCATCATGGGAAATATGACAGTAGAGGTAAAGTGATCAAGGACAGGTGAGGTTAAGACATCTATTTACAGCATTAACAGAGAGACTTAGGTAGGATTATCATGACACCTGGGTAACACTGGTTTCCTTCCCCTAGTTTCTCTTTAAGTTTGTCAGTCAATATTTTTTTTCTTTACATTTTTGACTTTTTCTGTACATCCACTTTAACAGTATCAACTAAGGACTAAGATAAACGATTGATCCACTGAAAGAATGCAAGTGTATAATAAATATATATAGGATTGTCCAATCTTTGACTCAGAGTAAGAGGAAATAAGATTGAGATACACCTTTTTAGTGGACTTATCGAGAAATATATAGTTTATTATTTTTATAATTCACATAAGCCATTTAATTAATTTCAGGAAATTTACAAAGATCGTAAGAAGTTCTCTAAGGCTGTGTTTGAAGTGGCCTCCTCTGATCTGGTCAACATGGGCATCTGTGTGGTCAGTTACACCCTCAAGGACATCCGAGACGACAGGGTAAGTCTCCACCATCATACTGCCAAGTTTCACTCGTTTCTGACTAAATATTTGTAATACAAGAGTCTTAACACTGATTGTGGTGGGCTGTCCCTTTACGCTTCTGTGGACACAGGAACCAGACCATGTAACTATGACTGGAATGTTCTGTTGTCGTCAAAGACTTCTTGATTTCCATAGTTGCTTATGACTGGAATGTTCTGTTGTCGTCAAAGACTTCTTGATTTCCGTAGCTGCTTATATCTTTTGTTATTATGGTCATTGATTGCTTCACACTCAAAAAAACTTCCTTTTTGTTTAGAAATAGAATCCCTTTCATTGTATATCATTGATAAGGTTTGAGTGGATTGTCACAACATGTTTGGTGGGCATAATTTGTGGCATATTTTTGTTAATTATTATATCCAAGCATTAGAATGGCTTTTTAGATTTGGTTGTTGGTTTGTGGAAAAAAAAACCAGTTCAGTTTTGAATTGTTTGACCTATCATCATAATCATGTAGCATTGATTACTGATCACTGAATATACATTTTTTTGAAATATATCGTTCTTCTTTCAGTTTAAACTTGTTAAACAGATCAGTTTCTGAATATTTGATAGACAAACAGAAATAATGTATAGACAGTTCCTTTATACATGAGGGTTAGAGTATTGATACCCTTCTTTAAAACAACAATATTTAAGATATTAACTACATATGCAGCTTTCTCAGTATCCCTTGTTTAAAAGATTCTAAATATACATGTATTACAATTCAGTATTCTTGCCTGTTGATTTGAATGTTCATTTTTTCTTAAGTTCTTGAACATATTGATACAATTCAATCATTTATTAAATAATGGATCTTAATACATGTATTCTGTTACATTAGTATAATGTTGAAATTTTATTTTTTCTATCAGAATGAGCCAGAAACAGTAAAAAAAAAATAATTTTTATGCATGTTTGTTGTTCACTAATTATTCTTCTATTTTAGCTCTACTGGTCTATAGTTTTGGTCCCATTTCAATGAAACTGGGTACTTAATTTAGTAAACTAGATGTAATTCTCGTTCATTGTGTTTCCTTTTGCCAAGTAATAAGGCTATAACTACTTGAAATAGAAATTTTCATGCACAGATGAAGAGGGGGGTCGGGGGGGGGGGGGTCAAGACCCCCCCTGGAATTTGGAGATTATTAAATTTATATACTAAAGCAAGAAAAAGGTTACCTAGGACCCCCCTCGGAAGACAAAGACCCCCACTGTTAAACGCGAATTTGTGTTAAATTGGTATGAAAATCAAAGGTTTGAAGCATTAGAAGTCATCAATTAACCCCACCATGTTGCCATGGTTGTTTATAATGATTTATTGAAAAATATTTCCATTTCTAAGTTTTTTCTCTGTGATAACTCTTTGAAAGTTAGCAGAGCTGATTTCTTGATAATTCTACCAGAATGTAAATAGGCAGGTCGATAGGTCAGGAGCTAAGGAGGCTTAATATGCATGCAAATCTTGTGCGCATCTGTCTCTTTGTCTGACGCTAAGAAGGCCAAATACGCATTTAAATCTTGTGGGGCTGCCTTTGTGTTTGATGTCAGTGGGTGAGGGCTATTAAAATTGCATGGGAGTCCTAGCCCGTTATGCAAATTATCCCATGTTTCCCACTATCGTTGATGCCCTGGCATACTATACTGACTAGACAGTGATTCCTTAAATATGCTATCAAGCTCAATATAAAAGAAATTTAAATTGTTGAAAATTTATACTTTTAACAGTATTTCATATCCTAAAAGGGTGTCATTAATGTACATATTCATCATTTGTTAGTGAGCATTGTGGTACATGGGCCTGTTTATCTTGTTGCATTTGCATACTGTTAATCAAGTGTGACTGATTGAAATCTTAAATGCTTTTGATAAGTCATCCTTCATAACCTTCTTCGGTTGCACTCTTTCTTAGGTTTATTATTATATTAATGTGTATTAATGTCACATGAAAGGATACCCAAAATCTGGGGGTGGGGGTAGGTTGCTTTCCAAGTTTCATATTGTAGTGAATGAAAAAAATTCCCTACCCCATTCTTTCTCTTCTGTTTGTTTGACCTAGTAGAGCATCCTTAGGAATTACATAATTTTTATTTCTTGTATACATGTTAGAAGAATTTGTGCCAGTTTGTATCACTGCATGGTTCATTAGTTTATCCAGAAAGGATACTAATAATTTGATTTTGTATTAATCAAAAAAAAAAAGGGAAAGGAAAGAAAGAAAGAAAAAGGAGGAAATTCACACATATTTATATTGTAATATGAAAATTTTTGGGATGGATACTGGTTGTGTGTCTTTCTCTAAGAAGAAGGAATATGAAATACCTTTACATAAACAATCATTCTGATAATGATATAAAGTTGATTGCATATTTTGATTATTATAATTGAACCATATGTGTAGAAATATAAAAGATTCATCTATTTCTGTTTTGCAGGGTTACCTGAAGTACCTTGGTATGGCTCAGACAGCTACAGTCAAGAGGGACGCAAGAATGGGGGAGGCTGAGGCTCGCATGGAGGCCGGAATCAGGGTCCGAATCTGTATTCATTTCTATTAATTATATATTAGATTACAAGCATCCTCATATCATGTAAATTCTGTAAAAAAAAAATTCAAATTTATCATAAACGAACTCTTTATAGTCCCACAAAAGAACTTTATTTACAGAAATATTTTGAATGTGTTTGCGAGAGCCTAAGATTAGAATGACCAAAGTGTTGTTTGGCAATGGCAATTCAAGCATTCTCATGCAATTTTTTTTGGAAGTCATTGCCTTTGGGATTTGATGAAGCCATATATAGGATTTAAAATGAAATAAAATGCGGAATATTTTTCTAAAAGCCAAGTTATTTGACGAATTTCAAGTAACTGTAAAGATCTAGATAATCTTTGAGCCCTTTCAGATTTTGTTGTTTTAAAGTAGAATCTAAAGTAAATGATTTTGCGTATTACAGGAAGCTAATGCTGAGGAGAAGAGAATGGCTGCCAGGTACACAACAGATATTGACATTGCTAAGTCACAGAGAGATTTCGAGTTGAAGAATGCTGCCTACGACATGGAGATTCAGACCAAGAAAGCCCAGTCTGACTTAGCCTACGAACTACAGGTCAGTTCTTATTAAGAAATATTGATAACATGTATGTCCTTACTTAGGTAAGAAAGCATACCTGTGCTCACCTATAAGCTGGATTTTGATTATTGATATATCAGTTGCATATTTGGACATATTTTCTGTAGATAAGATGATACTGACACCTATCAACTACAAGTTTACATATAAATAATCAATCAATAAACATTCAATTAAAGGCTGCCAAGACCAAACAAGCAATCAAAGAAGAAGACATGCAGGTCAAGGTCATTGAAAGGACTCAACAGATTCAGCTCCAGGAACAAGAAATCACCCGCCGCGAAAGAGAGCTGGAGGCCACAGTCCGCAAACCTGCTGATGCTGAGAAGTACAGGCTTGAGAAACTTGCCGAGGCCAACAGGTAAATGTCAAGTATAGGCTAGAGATGTGTGCCGAGGCCAACAGGTAAATGTAAAGGCTAGAGATGTGTGCCAAGGCAGCAGGTAATATAAAGTAAAGGCTAGAGATGTGTGCCGAGGCCAACAGGTAAATGTTAAGTATAACTACAGACTTGGTTTACTGAGGTTAACATGTAAATACAATATGTTATTAAAAAATTGAAGTTAACATGATACCAATGGTCTTAATGTGGCACATTATTTACCAGTTAATCTTTTAATGTAAAGTGGATCTTTTTAGAGTGTTTTATAATGCTTTTATCCCTGTAAATAAATCTTTATATTTTATTGACAGAACACGAGTAATCTTAGAAGCCGAGGCTGAAGCAGAAGCCATTAAGGTAGGTGTGGCCAGAATTCTACTTTCAGTTTATCTTCAACACAGGAAATAAGCATGGAAAATAACTTACCTGTTATATGATTTTAATTTCATGCAGAACTCTAAATGTAAATGTGATGACTTATGTCGTGATTATTTTTGTTCAGGTGAAGGGTGAAGCTGAGGCCTTTGCTGTGGAGGCTAAGGCCAAGGCTGAGGCAGAACAGATGGCTAAGAAGGCCGACGCCTGGAAGGATTACCAGGACGCTGCTATGGTTGACATGATCCTGGAAACTCTACCAAAGGTAGGACTTATTGTCAGTCAAAGGTACCAGACATTATTCTGGAAACTCTACCAAAGGTAGAAATTATGTACTAAAATTATTACCAAACTTAGCCCATATTATGTCAGCCAGTGATAACAAAAATGACAATATACTGGAAACTCTACCAAAGGTAGGACTTATTGTCAGTCAAAGATACCAGTAATGACAGTATACTGGTGGCTGCTGAGGTGTTTATTCCTTTGTGCAAAGTTAAGTATCAATTCATAGTGTGTACACTATGTTAAGTGAGTTTCTGTTCCTCTGTGGAGTGTTACTATTAATATGTGATGGAATCTTTTCTCTCTCTGCACTGTTGAGTATTTATACGTGTCTATTTTAGGTGGCTGCTGAAATCTCGGCCCCTCTGTGCAGTGCTAAGAAGATCACCATGGTGTCCAGCGGTAAGGGAGAAGTGGGAGCTGCCAAACTGTCCGGGGAGGTGCTGACCCTGATGGAGAAGATGCCACACGTGGTGGAGAATCTGACCGGAATCAACATCACCAAGGTACGGTGGCGGTCTGATCTATAAATAGGGGGTGGCTGATAACACCCACCGTCTGATCTGTAAATAGGGGATATGATATGTCCAGTGTCAGTCTGATCTATAAATAGAAGGTGGTGGTTAACACAAACAGTCTGATCTATAAATAGGGGGTGGCTGCTAACACAAACCTTTGTTTCTGTTCATTAAATTTTATTTGGCATGAATTTATTTTAGCAAGTAACTCGGGTAAGTTTGGTGTTTTCTGGGTCTGGGACCTGTTGATTTGTTTCCTAGTTTTTTTTTTTCTTTACTGTTTTTCTTCCTTTATATTCACAGTAGTTTCCCACCAGAGTTACTGATTAAGGCCATTTTGTCTCATCATTTTTAGGCTTTTTTGTGCACAAATAGTTATAAGAATAGTACTGTATTAAAACTTTATCTAAGGGCTTTTTGGGGGCTTTCATTTTAATACAGTAGTAAGTAGATGTATATCATTTTGTTGGATGTGTTTTACTTCAACAACAAATAATTTTTTTCTGGATATAGGTTCCAAAGGCAAGGGATACACAGCAGGCTATGCACCACTTTAGATTTTAAATATTTTGTTTTGTTCATAGCACTATTAACTTGATATTCCTGGTTTTTTGGGGGAAAGCTGGAATAAAATAATGAATGATCCCTTTGTAGCACTTCATGGAAGCAGTCAAGTGTAAGTGACTTATTCATCTAGTGTATACAAGTATTCAAAGGTCTCTCTACTGAATAAATTACCATACAAGTATTGAAAAGTCTTTACAGAATAAAATACCATATAACTATTGAAAAGTCTTAACTGAATAAAATACCATATAACTATTGAAAAGTCTCCATTTAATAAAATACCATAAAGTCTCTACTGAATAAAATACCATACAAGTGTCCTAATGTGTTAGAACTATCTTAAACACAGTTGTATGAACAAAATCATCTGTACAGGGAATGAATATGGTATCTAAATGTGAAAGTTGTTAGCAGTTATCTGTTTTATATCCTTATCTATAACTGTAAATACTTATAAGTGTAAACTTGTATATACATATGTACATGTATAGAAATAAATGTTACATTCTATAGACATATAAATGCTTTAAGATAAATTGCATTATCATTAATTAATTTTCAATGTACAATGACATACAAAAGAAATGCAGCATACTAAGTAGGAGGAAATCAGATAAAGGGGGATAATTTTGTACTTAGTGCAGACATTCTGAAGTTTATGTCACTGTTAATTTAATGGTTGACTGATCTTCATCGTGGTACAGGACCTAGCTCAGAGGCCCACTTAATAAAATTCATCATATTTTGTTGAATTAAAAAATTAGAAAAAGATTAGATTTCTCTTCATCATAGATGTTGCAGTAACATTCCCATCAAAAAAGTTCTTATTTCTTAGCAAAGGGAAGGCTTCCAAATAATGACTATAAAGCATTTTGATTGCTTTGCCTGAAAATTTCATATTTAATTTCAATGTTAGAATCTAAGCTAAATTGTAAATAGCATCGTATAAAAATGTTGATATTTGTTGTTTAAAGCTTGTTGCATTTCTTTGGTATGTCGACATAAGTATAAATTTTACTAACTAGTATTTAATGATTGTAACCTATAAGCTCTCTTCAGAATATTCAAACAACGAAATAATAGCAAACTCGCACTTAATTACAGTTTGAAAGAATTCCCTTAATCCTGCGAAAATCAGCAACTGGATAACTTTTTTACCTATCACACATTTAGTATTTTACGCTTTGTGATGCCATGCAAACAAAAAAAAAATATATGTTTGCATTTGTATTTTACAGAAAGTTGAGAAAGTATGCATTATTATCTATCTAATAAAATCATCCATTAATAATTGATAAATCCAACTAAAAAATATATATGTATATACTGTCTTGAAATAAAGAAGAAAAACACGAAAAACCTTGGGAAAGCTTTAGGTCTTTCATTTTATACGTGTACAACTTGTACAACTGGAGTACAACATTTTTCTATTCAAGCATTTACAGTAATTGAGTTTGCTGTAAACTTGTTTTACAGTTATAAAAATACACTTTCATTGAATTTACAGGATTAAAAAGGGAAATGTATATCCAATGTGCCTGTCTTTTTGAGACACAATTTCTTAAATTGACTGTCATCTTGTTTCAATCAAGATAATGTGCGAAGATTGTTTTAATTTGGCCTGTCTTTAATATAGTGATATATAAATATCCAGTGTACTAAATGCCTGCTGTTGTATTTTGTAGAACATCAAGGCTGCAACCAGAAGATAAACAGTTCCACAGAGTCGTCGGCCATCGTTATTATCCTCCGTATGGGCATGTCACTGTAGACTGTGTATTGTTAGACAAGTTATCTCCCTTGAACAAGTCATCAACTTTAGAAGTTACAGTACATTATTCATATCAAATATTTACATGCTTATTTACATCATTAATCTGATACTCCAGGGACTATGATTTTCCATCTACAATTGTTCTGGTTTTCGTCAGGCTGTATTTGAGTTATTGGCAGCTTATGTATATTTATTATCTGTACTTTATATTTTGTATTTGTTAAGTTTGCATAATGCAGTGTATATCCAACATCAACCAGCACTTAAGAAGTCATCTAGTCATATGACCAGTTCAAAGGTGTGTGTGCTGAGAAATAAAACATTGGCAAATTGTTACGCACTGTCTGTCCCCTAGGTTCAGATTATACTGTAGATTTTTTTTAGCAATTTTTATCCCAATTTTTTTAACTTCTATTTGAATTGCAAGTATTTGAACAATTTTTGCCTTTTCTTTTACCTTTTTAAAACCACCAGTTTCTGTAACTACAGACCATTTTAATATCTCGCATCATCCTTACAATCATTAGTTATTACTTTGATGTTGTAATCCTCAGGTTTGGGGTGTTGCAGTCATGGTTAACATTATACACTGAGCTGTTAACCTGTAGAGCTACTGTCTTAGCAGAGACATCATTTCTCAGTGTATTTGTGAATAAAGGTTGGACTTTGCCATGCTATTTTAATGCTCAATATAATGAATTTGGATAGGACTAGATACCAAAGAAAGAAACCTGGTTTGTTTTAAACAGTTGTATTTTTAATACATAAATGATTTTCTCAAACACTAAGTGTACAATCAAAAGTTTTATCATGATTGTATTTGTGATTTTTTTTAAATAGATAAAACATTGTAAATTCCATTTTTTATACTAGTTTTTTAAAGTTGGTCAGAATTTGTGTGACGGGGTACTGAGAGTTTTATCAGACCTTGAAGCTGCTTGACTGATTGTCTTTAACGACAGAGTTATCATGCATAGGGGATGCCGTATTCCCAGTTCCAGAAATCCTCAAAATAATGGATGCTTACGTGCATTAATCCAATAATGCAGACTTATACAGGTACATAGCTAAATTTATAACATTGTTAATATGTATAAAATTATGTATGTCTTTGTACATTGCAATAATTGTCATTAATAAATACCTACATATACATACTGGGCTTATTTCTATGTCATGTGGCCGCTTTGGATGATTGGCCCATACTGATCTATCAGCTCTACATTCAGATGAGAGAGCTGTCCAAATCCTCCCTTGTGGATTGGGGATGGATTGAGAGAATTTTTACTGTTGGATCAGTAATTACTGTTAACATGTTACATTTGATGGTGCATTCTTTGGTGGAAAGAAACTTCCTCTAATTCAAGTACAATGCTAAGTGTTTTAAACATTGATACATAAATTAGAACATTAAGAAATGTGCTAAATCAAATCTAAGCTAACTTGCTTAAAAATCAATCTCCACTAAATATTGAATACAGTGGACCTTCAGATATCCGGATGCTTCAGTATCCGGACGATTTTTCATCGGAACAGAATTTTTTAATGTTATTTTGACTTGTTTAACTGGTGATTCAGGTATCCAGACAAATTGACTGAGAACCAAAGCGTCTGGATAAATGAGGCTCCACTGTATATATAAATCATTATGTCAGAATAATTATCAACTGCATAAGTTGTAATAAAAAACCAAATTCAACTTCAAAATTTTGAGAAAAATAATTAATCTGAAGTAATTTTGAGTTTTGTGGATTCAAGTTTTATTAAATAAAAATAACTTTTTTGGGGGAAAGCTAAAGAAATAGTTGGGGTCAGTTGCAAAAACTCAACTCAGCCAGAAAAATATGTAATAAAATGTTTACTTGGTTCTTCGTGAATTATAAAGCATATACTGACACAAACCAGGTTATACTCAAATAATTTGGTCAAGAATTAGAGTCATTCCTTAAATGTGCGAGACATTTGTACTAGAATTAGTGGAAGTTTTTTTTCTGCCAAAAAAGCTAGATATAATACACAGCCAAATGTATTTACAGTAACATCACCACAATGTTCAAGAAATGAAGGAACACCTAGGAAACTAATTATTGTTTGTGGTAGTCATGATCTTGATTCATGAATTCGAATACACTAAGAGATTTTTTGTAAAATGTGTTGTAAATGAGGGAGAAAAATTGTATTGTATACTTTATTACAAGAAAAATACAAATCAACAAACATTAACATTTGCTGCATACATAACGATTATGTAATTCTTTGGATGATTAGCTTATAGTGATACCATGTAAAACCAGAGTACATGTATGTACGTCTCTTGATTATAAGGCAATTCTGTTGTCCCCATGAAGGAGCTTGCCCTATCAAGACAGTTCTGCCAGTTAATTGCTCGTATTTATTCTGCTGCTGCTTACACAGCAGTTCCGTTGTACCCTGGCAACTCTGCCTATTTGACAGTACAGCCAGTAACTGTTTGTATTTATTCTGTCCGTCTGTTGTTCAGACAGCAGTTCCATCATCCCCTGGCGGCTCTGCCCTATTAGACAACACTGACAGTAACTGTTCGTATTTATTCTGTCTGTCTGTGGTTTATACGGCAGTTCCGTCGTCCCCTGACGGCTCTGCCCTATTAGACAACACTGACAGTAACTGTTCGTATTTATTCTGTCTCTCCTTCCTCTCCACACTAGCACCTTTAGCTCCCCACAGCATCCTCAGATGGAATTCCGTTTGGAAGACATCAGTGATAATGTCCTCCAGTTTCCCAGACTTCATCATGTTTTGCGCCGTGACTTTGTACAGTCCACACTGGGCGGTGATCAGGCGGGCCGTGTCTAAATGTGTCAGTAGAATGTCCAACCCACTGTTCTGGTCCGATAACTCCCAGGGGAGGTAACTAGTGAGACTGGTCTCGTCCCGCTCCAGGAGAAACACGAGGGGTGCAATGTCGGGAACAGACACATTCTGTAGTGGGAGGAGCCCGCTGCCATCCATCAGGGACTTGTACGCGGACTTCAGCTTCGTGTCAAATTGAAAGGCACTGTTTGTGTGATTCCTACGCAGGATTAGCCAGGTGTCTCGCAGACGGGAAATCTGGAAAAATTAGAGTAAGAAGGTTTAGGTGACTATTGCACAGGCATTTGAATAGGAGCATTCACTGTGTACAAAGAACAACAAATCATATTTAAAATTCACATACCATGATTCATAAAAGATTATATAACAGATGGGGGTGGGGTCAGTTAAAGCAAAATTTTTAATTATTATAATGGTGTTTGTAAGCAATTTTCCATGTAGCAGTCTTTGATAGCAGCTTTCTTTCTTTGTATTTGAAAAAGTTGGCACAGTTATAATTGCTTATAAAAGTACTTAAAAACAAGTAGATTACTCATAATATAAAGGACAATAATGTACTGTGTATGCTGGAGTAAATAGTCTTCAAAAAATGCCACATCTTTCAATCTGCTTCATCAAGAATTCGCCTTATATAACTGATACTTGACATGTCCTTTATGAAAGCTAAGGGCATTTACAAAAATATTCCTCCTAGGAGCCTTGAGGTGCTGAACAATTACTATTAGTGTGTTACTTACATGTTCTGAAGTAAGCCCCTCCATAACGCTGGCAAAGCCAAACAAGTTTCCAAATGTTGACCTCAGATCTACGGCTATCTGTATCCACTGACTCAGTATTTTAGCTCGCTCTGTCACTGTGCTGCATGTCAAGGTCGTCACCATGACAAACACTTTCATACAGTAGCACCTTTGAGAAAATTGTTTTTAGGTAAATATTGATATTTGAAATTTATATTCCTACCTTAAAATCCATGAAAAAATCTTGTCTCTTGGTAAAGATATGAATAATATTTAAAATTTTTATTCTAAGCATGCTAAAGTTAACATTTAACATAATATTACATGTACCTTTCAATGACATTCTGTCTGAGTTGTTTCCCTTGAGGTAGAGTAATCAACTCTAATCCAGACACTACACCTAATCCGAGATCCGAATCATTGACGACCTTCAGATAATCCAGATCCACCTTAGTCATGTGTTCCGCCAGTCTATGAGAATTATTATCCAACAGTATCTCTTTCACTTTTAACAGAACGGATGGCTCCAAGGGTTTATTGTCCGATTGAATTAATGAGGATTTGAACTCAGTGGGTTTTAAGCTTGTGTGAGTGTCAATTTCTGGGACCTTTATTGTCTTTTTCCTCATCTGTACCTCCTCCTCCCCGATCACTTCGATCTGTTTCCCCTTTGGGGTGAGGGGAGACGGAATTTCAGCATAGTCCCTACCCCACAATCCAGAAAACTGGCTTTCAGACTTTTTCTTGATTTTTTCGGGTAACTCTATGGTAAGTGTTTCCGGATTGTCCTTTGCATGTTTGTTTTCAAAATGAACACTATTAAAATTATTGTCATAATCCCCTTCGTTGCCCGAGGGCTGGTAATTATTGTTGAGATTGCCGCTATATGTGGGTGGCTGACATTTCTTGAGCCAGCTCGGTGATTCCCTCACCTGATAGTAATCAGAATAATCCCTGTCATCGTCCTCATATAATTCCTTATTTCGGATGCTGATTTTCGGACGGTCTTTTCCAATGTATTTAACGGAGGGGATCCTGCTGGGTTTTGGGGGTGGGGGTTTGTTGAGGTGACTGTCTGATGTTGAGGGAGCCATTCGAGGCTGTACAGACAGATAATGGGACTTTGGAGTATTTTGGGACACACTACCATCAGGGTTCATCATGGGTTCACTCCCTGACCTCTGATGTTGGATCTGAGGGGCTGGAGACATGCTACCCCCAGGACCAGGGGACAACTGTTTAATACTGGGGGTACTTTCAGACCTGTCTATACTCCCAGCAGTGGGATTTTGAGCACTGTCCATTTTGAGTATTGGTTGGCTGCCGGTTCTGAGCGGTTTCCTCTGTAATCGAGGACTACCTTTCGGAGATGTGTGTGGAGAACTGTAGGGACTTCCCCTTTCATTTGCACCATGTCCAGGAGTCAACAATGCCCCCGCAGGACTTCCTCCTGAATATCCATATTTGTTGTCATAGTAACTTAATGGCATTGTCCTTCCAATAGGATTTAACAAAAAAGCACCTGATGTTTTAGTCACACACTTCCTATGGGACATATAAAATTGCACAAGGTCCTGCACTGAACAGAATTTATCCTCTTCCAGGGAGTATGTGATCTCAGGAATATGACTGTCCCTCTCTGTGATTTGAGAATTAATGATAAAATGTAAACGAACACCTCTCCAGCAACAACTGAGTACGAAGTCACCGGGCTGTGAGATACAGTCCCTCACCAGAAAGTCTCCATTGTGACTGAGGGTCTTCTCTGCGTGCTGACGACTTACACTCCCATGATACCACGGCCAGTGTCTAAGCTCCGAGGGGTCGGCCTGAAGCTCTCCGATTAAATCGTGCTCCAATCGCTCCGGAGATATGTTCACCACTTGATAGTCCGTAAAGTTGTTATTCGGTGAGCAGGAGAGCCTGTAATGTAGGAAGTGAGCAAGTGTTAAAGGGCTTATCAATCACAGGACATAATCTTACCAGAAATATGTCACAAACTCTCCGTCACCTTATAAGTCTGGTAAACAAAGACACACAAGATAAACCAGGCTACTGATAACAACACGAGCAGGTATCAAATTATTTCTGTAAAAGGAGAAAAACACATTGACCTTACCCTGAAATACCTTACTGCACTGATATAAAACACATGCACACCACCTCTCTCCCGTGTACACAATGAGGGACTTATTCTGGACAGTCTAAACACATTTTATGCATGAAGTATCCACACTAATAGAAATGAAGTTGTTGACCTTAGAGATTTAATGTCTCCTATCTGTATCACACCAAGGCACTGCCAACAGTTGTGTAATGTCACTAAAACATGCCAGGAAAAACTCCGTGTAGTAATTAAATGTCAGGTGTGAAATAGCAGGAATTATGTCAAGGTAGATAACAGGTTATAATAGAACATTCCATTATCAAGGGCACCCTCAGGTATATAATACAGGTAATTAAGTCCAGTTAATTGTCCACATGTAAATAAAACCTGAGAATTGTCCAATACTTACTAATCTAATTGTAAAATCCCCAATCTAATGTCAGAATTCCTGAAGAATGCACAAGTGGGACTTGTTAAGTCATTGTCGTTATAAGAAAGTGCGTGTCACATACAATTTAAGATCCAGTCAAAAGGGCGTACATGCACTCCATATAAGTATAACACCTATGTAAATATGTCCCAGGTTATCTACATTATGTTGAAGATCCTAATACAACCGAGGTATATCCATAAACATTGGGTAGAATTTTCCCCTGCAATGACTCTCCAGACCTTAATTCTATTCTGCCCATCGAAACTATGAATGACATGGATTTTAAATGACTGATTAAAATGAATGCCTTCGCATGATTTAGGATTCTTTTAAAAATAACCTGAAGTAAATTAGAAAAATTTGATATTCCTGTCACGCTGTGATTTTACGGTCCAGTGTTCATAGCACAGAGCGGGCTCCATTCTGTATTATATTAACAGATCTGGAAATCTGATTACTGCGAATATCTGAATATTTATTATAATATCAAACGAGTAAGGTAAAAATATTACCTTTTGACGTAATTTCTGCCATCAAAATTTGCACATGTAAAATTTTATTTAATAACTAATTTTTTTTTTCAAAATAAAAATTGTACTTACAAAATAACACATGGCATCTTTAATATTGAAAAAGAATTTGTTTTCTGAATATGAAATAAATATATAATATGTACATGTACATATGAAGGAGTCCCCTTTATATAAGATTGCGAGGTATTTGTGGTCGTTCTGTAAGTTGTTTGTTACTATGTGTACAAGGGATGGTTAGGGATACTTCTCGTATGAAGAGATTCGAATGACCACAGCCACACGCGCCTCCATTACGATCCAGTTAAATACTTCCTGGGACAGTGAATAACCTAATAAGTATGTTTCTACGGAAACTCAGTCAATATTTAGTATCAAGTAGACTATATCTATGTCAGTCCTTTTCTGGAAAAATTAAAGGAAATTTTACATTGATTCAGATCTAAATTTATATTGTACTGAATATTTCATAACTTGATCATACACATATTTCTTGATATAAACAAATATTTGTGGTTTCAAAATCACACAGATTAATAGACAATTCAGTAGTGCATGCAAAATTTCAACAAATCGATCAACATTGCAAAAGAAACAACATAACAAAAACAAAAGGGTGATAAATCAAAACAATTTAGAATAAATCAACACTGAAAAAATAAAATGATCAAATGTGACACAAAATTTGAAAATCAGACTTCAAAACAAAAACACTGTAACACAAGTGCCTTAAGTTTACTTTTTCTCCATCAAATGCTACCACACACAGTAAAGGCTACTCACTGAATCCTGGGATTACAAAATGAGACGGGGAAAGTCGACATGCTGGGCCAGCGGCGACCACTACAGAAAAGTCGGGAGTCAGAATCTCATACAACACACAGAGACAACACACTGAGACAATACAACTTAATTAACATACCACAATAAAGACGAGGGGTCAGAACTTACCTGTAACCTACACTAGTCACAGATCAGATCTACAGAGCCGTATAGTACTGTGTCAACAGCTGTCAATCCCTGAGTGATTTATTTATTGAGCTATTGATGCATTAATTAGTAGTTAATTAGTCATTTGTTCCGTGGGCTTTCAATACCACTCATGCTTTTTGTTTCTTTCTACCAGGTATATGTTAATTTTTTTGTATTGAGTGATTAATAACATAATATTCAATCACTTCTTTTGTTTTTCACATCAAACAATAGATTTAATCCTGATGAATGGTTAGGAGAAGAATATAAAAGTCCTTATAGCAGAGGTACAGGTGAATGCATAAAGGGAGGTAACTCAAACAGGATAAAGTTACTTACTGAGCAGAGGCACTGTGACTTCTTTGTATTACCCGAGGTTTACGGTAGCCTAAAATTAATATACAAGAAATACTATCAAAAATATCATTTATGAAAATATAATGTGTATAATGAAGGGAAAATAATGTCAGCCCAGAGAGTCCGATTCAAACCTGGATGCCCTATATCCTCCAAGACATGTGCTCTCCTATTAACTGAGTAACCTGGCCATTAACAAAACTAATGATCTGACCCAGCACATTAGTGAAAAGTTCACCATAGAGAGACATCTAAAAATGATATGAAGATTAATTGTTACCTCGTTCATATTTTTCTTTGAGTATGCGCAGACTGGAGACAATTTTGGCTCTGTGTGCACTGTTCTTCAGCCCTAGGTCTCGGACATCAGCCTCGGTCAAATTCAGCAAATCCTGTAAAAGAAAATTACAGCATACATGTATATACACTTTCTAAAATGTAGAACCATATAATTATTGTGCCATATTCTCTCTCGCACAAAATGTACTGTACTCTTACAAACAAAGCTGACAGTAAAATTCTCTTACATGTAGCGGTAATAATACTTTAACCACATCTAAGAAAGATTTTCCTTGAACTAGCTGATATTTCCAAATATATAGCCTCATAAATAAACACAATTGTAAAGAATCTGTCCATAAAATGAACATTTAAAGCATAATATATGATTAAGAAGAAAACGAATACATGTACCAGTAAATTTAGTTAAACATCTTTTATTGACAAAAGTCAAAAGGATCTGACACAAGTTCAGCAACTTAGCCTTCTAGATATATAGAGGAAATGTTTGGACTTTTGATGAGTGGATGTAGTGCCTGAACTGCTTTATGATCTACTGTATAATCCCTATTAACCGCCCCTGCCCCTATAAGTGCCCCCTTAGGTCTTTTTCAATTGTCAGGAAATAAGGGCCCCCTGTATAGTAATTAAAATTATCTAGAATCGTATAAAAAGTTTGCCAAAGAAAGTGAAAATGAAACTTGTTTATTATCCAATTTCTTGATGGAAAAGGATTCATTTAGCATAATTTGGGTGGATTATCTTGATATAAAACACTAAGTTAGACATTTATAATATTTTAGAGATTCTTTGAATTTTTTTTAAAGATATTTTTTGAAGTTAAAATATGATATTAAGGTCAGACGACACGTTCCTCAAATATATGTTTTGTATCTCTTAATTGGTATTATATGAAAAAATTATTCACATTTGTCATTCTCATGTGATTTCTACATTGTTTTCAAAATGTTTTTAAACATAAGTACACCAAAAATTGTGTTATAGACATTTAGGAGATTACACATAAGGGTTATATAAGAAATATGACCTTATGATATATGATCATCTGACCTTAATTATTATGAAGAGAATACCAAAATAACCGCCCCTTACTGCAATTTTCTAAGCGCCCAGGGCAATTAATAGGGATAATACGGTATACAGTTTATAGTTAATGCCTGTATTTACCTCCACCCCACTGAAGCCGGTGAATATTTCCTCGTATTCTCTTAGCCCCAGGGCCTCCAGCCAGGTTTCTATGGGTATGTGTTTGTGGGCCATCACCTGTTGTCTCTCCAACACAATCCTGCAATTAAACATATAGTAATAAAAAATGTGTCAAGTTTACAGACAGACAGACAGACAGGTGGAGAGATGGACAGATAGGTTGAGGCCATCATCTGTTGTCTCTCCAATGCAATTCTTAAATAAAATAAAAAGAATGAAAACAAAGTGAAGTGAAAAATGTCTAGATGTGCGTGTCAGAGAGATGGACAGATATCACCTGTTGTCTCTCAAACACAATCCTACAATAAAACAAACAGTAATAAAAAATGTGTAAAGTCTACAGACAGACAGGTGGAGAGACGGACAGATAGTGGAGGTCATCACCTGTTGTCTCTCCAATGCAATTCTACAATAAAGTAAAAAAGTCACAATCAAAAATGTGAAAAGATGGACAAACGGAGAAATGGACAGACTGAGAGACAGACGATTGGAAAGACAGAACCTTGAGACAAAATGTACCCAAAAAAGCTCACTTGAACTTTCAGATTACCGGTAGGTGAGCTGATAAAAGTCTGTCAAAACTGTCCATTGGACTGAAACAAACAGTCAAACTCCAGAGATTGATTTAATAACAACATTTTATTGTTCAACATAATCAATGTTTTATAATGCTTCAACAGCTCGATATGAATGCATGTAATTTATAATATTTCTGATGACACATCAACATACGGCAGATGTTTCTCCTGTTTTTATAAAACTAAAGAGGAGCATAGAATTACATGCTATAACTAAACAGGCCATAACCTATACAGTTCTCTTCTAAACAGTGAATCAAATAAACTTATTTTATAATTGATTAAATTCTCAAATGATGATCTGAATAAGAGACAATTAATCTTTTATTTAAAGGTTTTAAAGATTATATCAATAACAACTAAAAAAAAAAAAGACTATGAAATCAGACATTCCAAAAAAATGTCCCAATTCATTCAATAAATTCCACCTTGCTTACTTTTGTTTAACATGTATTTCTCACTTGATTAATACATGTATAAGTTTTCATACTCTCTTGTGATTTTTTTTTCTTGACCTATAATGCCAAAATCACAGGTGCTCCTCTGGCACTCAGAAAACCAATAAAAAATAAATCAATGACATGAGTTACCTCCCCTTAGAAGTCCTCCTCCTACCTTAACAAACTTTGTTCTATCTCCTCCAATTTTCTCCTCCCTTTCCTCCTGTCCATAATTTTACATCAAAGATCTTCTTTCTTTTACCACTCAAATGCATTAAATACAAAAAATCAGCTGTCCAGGGAAAAAACTGGCCCAGGTGTCTTGTGTATGGTGTACCATGCTGTCCAACCCATCAAATCAACATTACTCCAAATATTTACTTTTTCCATCACTTCTTACACAAATAAATTACACTTTGTCAAATAATACATCTCTCAGCACAATGCCTGACATCTTTTTCTGAATAACAAATCCTACGATTAGAATCACCTGATTAATTCACAATTTACAAGCTCGGCCGTAAATAGTAAAAAATTGCCTGAAAAGATGGAATTCGGCAGTTTTTTTTTATCAATGACAGGGGAGTCTGGAGGAATAGGTTAAGATCCTTGTGATCAGATCTTGGAGGATTTTATCTCCGATCATCAGTCATCGACTCCGACAGGTTTCAAAACACCAACACCCCAGGGAGCATAATGCATCAAATGAAATAATCTCCCAATTCCAATTTTTTGAACTGATTGCATCATAAACTTCTTATATATACTCATTGATGCTGAAACTAGATTGATAATCTCAAGGATTTAAAGTTATATTTAGAACTATAAAAATATTCCATATCTCTTTGATCAGCTGAAATCTTGAGATTCTGATATAGGCACAAATAATTTAAATGTTTTCTTAAATATTCTAAAGGAACTTGTGTTATATACATCTTAGAAAATACAAGAGATCAATCACACTTCAAACAGCCCCCTTACATTTAAATTGATGTTCATTACGGCTCTGTGACAATACTGGGAGTAAATCTAATCAAATCTCAGATGGCTGTGACCCTCATAATGTCCTGTTAGGGCAGATAAATAGAGAGATCATAAAGAGCTGGACAACACTATACAGGATTAATCTACCTCCCCAGGGAAATCTGTGTAAGGATAATATATAACAGATCAATGAAAATAAATAAAAACGGCCAGTATACTCTAAATAGTTTACATCTCCCATGGTAAAGAATGCGGAATACAGGACACTTGTATCTGGCCATCTGTTCTGACAGGTTCTTTTTTTCTTTTATTCTTTTTTTTCCTACAAAATTCACCAGCATTTTTATCAATTTGGTCATCAGAACATTCATTGAGCAAACATGCAAACTCTTCAACACTGTGTCAAGGGAGATAACTTCTTTACTAATTATATCAGGTTGCCAAAAATCCATGTTTCCTGCTGATACGAAATAAGTAAAAAATATGATTGATGAAGACCCAAGAAATCAGCATCCTGTTTATAGAAGAAGGCTCCTGATAATTTATATAAATCAGTGGGTGCCTCCCCAAACGGTGCCAAGATGTGGTACACTGGTCAGATAGGGGGGTTCCCTACAGATATAGCGGAGCACTGGGAGTCACGCTAAGTCAGTCAGCAATCTCCGTTAGCTACCTCAATATTTCACCAACAGACACCCACCTATAGCACGGCACCACATCAACCTAGAGCAACCACCTGTCGAAGCAGGGAGATAACACATCAAAAGGCAGTCAAAACTGAACCACAGAAGTTTTTTGTAAGACATCATCCTGAGGTTACTGCTGATTTGACCAGAAGTTGAATCATTGGGTTATCAGAAATATCCACTGGAATTATATTTCAAAAGCTTCAAATATTATGCAAGTAGCAGCAGGTGTTATTGAGTAATTGATCTAATAACTGAGATCAATTCAAAGAAAACTTTTTAAAATAATGATCCCACTGAGTGTGACCTGTTTATAACAAGCATAAAAAGGTAGGAAATGTGTTACCACAATCATCCCTAAATAAATTATCAATTAATCTAAAAAGAATCAAGTTTTGATATTCTGAAAAAAAATCATTTTAAGTATAAAATTCTTATTTTTTAAAAAGTCTAGTAGAATACTCCTGGTACAGGACAAGAGGAGTTTCCACAAAATGACTGATGAAGAAGATACAGCACATGATCTAAACCATATAACACCTCCTCTACCTAAATATAAATCATATATCAAACAATTACTCACCCATTCGTGATTTGTTAAGTTTAGGAGGAATAGACTCCATGGAACAGAGGGTAAGAATGTTGATACAGCTTGTCAGTATGTAACAGATGGGGATTTCTCGAATCAGTAAGTTAAAGACCACATGTCCTATGTACCTTAAGTTCCCTGGGCCACTACACTCACCTGTGGTATTAGACCATGATGGTTACATTTAACTAGACACAGAGGAAAACCCTGGACTAATTTCATTTGATTTTAGTTCTTTAGCAAACCCCTCCCTTTCTGAAAATCCTACTCCATTTTGTTTTTTACATGTACCAAACAGAGCAATTACAATTTAACCTCAGTAGACCAATGAATCTATCTGACCAATATATCTAACAAACTGTTTTCAAGTGCAAAAACTAACAAATGGCCTACCTCAAAATGTAGCTATATACTGTCCATAAGTCCCAAAAAAAGTACTGGAAAACACAGAAAGATTTCTCCGTTTTTACTCAGCTCTAGTAAAATCTATGCATCCTAATTGCCCTCTTTGTGAAAAACCCAAAAAATCCCTTGTAAAAGCATCAGAATTAATGCTTCTCATACTATGCTTTGCTGTTAATTATGTTCCCCAAACGAAGTTCCCCAAACGAAGTTGGGGAACATATTGTTTTTACTCTGTTTCTTATTATTATTATTATTATTATTATTATTATTTTTCTTCTTCCTGGGAAAATTTTGTCCACGAGTGATCTTGTAAACTACACATCCGACTTAGGTGAAACCTTTTTAGGGTCAGTAGGCATGTTATGTAGAGTTGCCAAACAAAGGTCATTTTGCGCGCACGTGCTTGCAAGAGCGCGCACGTGCAACATGTGAAATTACCAATATAATGGATATTGCCGTAACTTTTCTATTTTTTGATGAATTTTTTTGAAACTCATAATGTAAGGATACATTAGTAGTATAGACAAGATAGCATGGTCAAAATAGCAAGATCTCACGCGCATGCACGTGCGCTTTGCTCTGATTGGCTGAAATTAAAGTCTCAATAACTTTCTTGTTTCTTGTCATAATCCTTTGAAATTTTGAACATAGTCCTACATTATGAAGATCTACCACATGATATATAAGAATTTTCATGAAAGCATGCGCATGTGCGCGTGCTGCAAGCTGATTGGCTGAAACTTTAAATGGCTATTTCTCCTTTGTTTTTTGACGATATTCTTTGAAATTTAAAATATAGTCATGCATTAGGATATCCTACAAAATGATATAGAAAAAAAATCATGAAATCATGCGCATGCACGTGTGCTGCAATCTGATTGGCTGAAACTTTAAATGGCTATTTCTCCTTTGTTTTTTGACGAAATTCTTTGAAATTTAAAATATAGTCATGCATTAGGATATCCTACAAAATGATATAGAAAAAAATCACGAAATCACGCGCATGCACGTGTGCTGCAATCTGATTGGCTGAAACTTTAAATGGCTATTTCTCCTTTGTTTTTTGACGAAATTCTTTGAAATTTAAAATATAGTCATGCATTAGGATATCCTACAAAATGATATTTAAAAAATCATGAAATTACGCGCATGCACGTGTGCTGAAATCTGATTGGCTGAAACTTTAAATGGCTATAACTCCCTTGTTTTTCAACCAAACAGGATGGGATTTAGAACATAGATAGATGTAAGGGACTCCTACAAGAAGGTATTATCATAATGCACGTGCATGCACGTGCGTGCATTTGAAACGAGTATATTTAAAAATACTCTAGAATGAGTGATTTTTATTACTTTTGGACTGAATGCTCTAATATATAGTATATTGAAATATATAAATAGTGTAGACAAGATAATATGGTCATAACGCACATGCATTCACATGCGCTTGGGTGCAATGCTAAAAATTGAATATAATTGATATCCTTCTGGGAAAACATTGTTAAAGTCAAAAATGCACAGAGTTTGTCTTATTTAATGAAGCTTACAGGGGATATGGCACCGAAAGAAAGTTGGGGAGCGTTTGGGGAACATCTGTAACGGTTCCCGTTACAATTAGCACTAGTTCTTTATGTGTTACATATAAAACAACTCCTAATGCTTACTGTTCATTAGATAAATTATCAAAGCATATTTCCCTTGGTAATAAATGTCAAACTAATGAATGTATAACACAAATGACTTCATACATAGAATTTCAATATGATTTCAGGAAACACAAATGCCTTACCTCTAAATTGTGATGTTCTTTAGATTAGATCTGTAACTGCCACCAATGTTTTAAATCTAATTCAACATTGAGACCAAAACATCATTTAATATGTACTAGACTACCTATCTAACACCTCCAGTTTGTAAATATCATTAGGAGCAGCAAGTCTGTCAAAGTATTCATACTGAATACATTCAGAAAACTTTAAAATGTTTACATTTACCAGATGACAGTTTAATAATAAACACTTTTGTCAATAACTGCCAGAACTCCAATTTCTGACACAATGTCATGAAACAAAAATATGTGCTCCATAAAAGTCAACAGTGTAGAAACAAGACACGGAAATGTTAAAGTCAATAAAATTAGAAATGACACAATTTCAGATTTAGAATTTGCAATATTTACAAAAGGCAAAGGAGGAAATTTTACTTACAAGCAAAATTCATATCAACTATCTTATTCACTTTGAAAAATTTCCTGATTTTCTTGATATTTACCCATTCAGCAATGAGTTGGATCCATTGAAAATAAATCAATACACATATATACAAACCTGAGATCACAACCTTTACAAGTAGATTATACACCATACATATATGTAAGCACCTTATGTCTCAAGAACTTTAAAATTACTCTTGTTTTCCTTCATAAATTGGATTACATATATGTTATAAATTGTTGCATTTGGAAGCATTAATACACGTATTAGACAAACATGTATTGCTTTACACAAACAAAGAGAAATCTGTGACCCAGATGGTTTCTGGTTTCCTAAGCGGTTGTGAATTATGTCTTTTGAATGAGAAACCTGCCCCACTAATGCACCATTGAGAACTTCAAACATTTCAAGGCCCACGAGAAGGTTTATTATTCCGTGCAAATGTTGAGTAGCACAATACCATAAAACAGATTTCTGACATGCAAGTTTTAAAACATGGAAAAACATGGGTCTAAAAAGATTACCAACTAAATTTATCATTTGATGCAAATGTATGATTATCATACCTGGGGTATACACATCCAAAACTTAAGGACTCCTAATTTTATTAATCTGATGTAGCAATGATCCAAAGGGTGTAATACTAACTTAAA